CGAATGAACCTTCTGATTCACCCTCACCATCAGTCCCATTTTTATCACTGGTTACCGCATCTTCTCTTGTATTTCGTGTTGATGTACTTGCTTCTCCTTGATTAGCTGATCCCTCGCCAACTTGTTGAGACCTGCGCCCCATCATGTATTCTGGTATATCTCCGAATAAATCTGGTTCATCTTCAAACAATTCTTCCAAAAAACTATGTTGAACCAAAGGTATCCCATGACGACGAGATGTTCCAGAAGATTCTCCCCTCTCATTTCGTGATGTGCTACCCTCAATCTCTTGAGTATCAGAACTTGTAGAAGAACTCTGATGTACTCTGCGCTTCTTATTACTTGGCTCATTTGTAAAAGTCACAGGCTCATCAGCAAAAAGCTCTTCCAAAGTAGAGAAACTTTGTTGTATTGCTGAAGGTACAATATGACGGCGAGAAGTTTCTGGCTCTAGAGATTCCGTGGGAATGTGACGCCGACGAGCACTCAGATGATCTCGAGACATTGTGGTTCTATTGATCTGTCGAGTTAACTTACGTGAGATATCTCTAAATCGCTCACATGGTCCAACATTACTTCTTATTGTTTGACTGGGATTGTCCATTGCAACAAATTTTATATTGAAACGGCTAGAAAGCACACTGAATAGTTGATCCGGATTAAGCGTGTGATAACGATAATATTTAAGAGCGTCATCTAATTCTCTTAATAGTTGCTGGATCAATTTTCCAAATGAGGACTTATCCCAATCGACATCATTTTCAACGAAAGGCTTAATTATTTCGTCATAGAACGTTGATATCTTGTCATTGTCAGAAAATGAATCCAATAACTTATTGATTATATTATGTTCCATTAAGCTACCGATCGATACGCGATCTAAATTATCAGCTAACTCCAAGACACCATCACGATAGCTATGATCGTTATCAAGCTTCCGTCCGATAGACAAGCATATTTCATCTGTTGATCTAGCATTTTCAGATATCAGTCTCTTTTCTAATTTTAGAGTCACCTCATCAAGACTACTCGCGCTGCGACTCGTAAGTGGAGTATTGGCTAGTACTCGCATACCGCCTAAGAGACGTAATGAGAGATGAAGAGTTGACTCCTTTTGAATATTATAATCAGAAAGCGCGCGACTATCTTCAAGTTGTTTGCCAGAGAATATTAGACGTTGCTGGTTCAAAGGAATTCTTTTCTTATTTTGAATCTTTCGTTTTATATATTCAACAGTGTCAGTTGGAACAACTTTGAAAGTGATGGTTTTACCAGTCAAAGTATTTACAAAGATTTGCATCGTTCTAAGGACTGGGACCGATCAATAAAAAAAATGGCCGGTCAAAATTTAAATTTTATTAATTTGGCAAGTTCAAAGGTCACTTGCGTATGTCGATGTAATGAAATTTTAGGTAGGGTTCCCACTAAAAAGTGTTCATAGGTGTGATACTAGAGTTGTGTATGTTAAGAAAATAGCATAATACAGTAATAGTTTCATGTGTGGTTTTGTGTAACATACCTATTATTCACACCCTTTATAACACATCTGTCACGCCCCTAAACACACCCTAAATAATATTGTATTTTTATTGGTTAATAATTGGGTTGGCTAAGCGCATGATTAGTCTATCATTAAATTACGAGGCCACTTCGGATTAAAAAATCCGGGATCTGTACGTAATAACACCCGGGTATATTGTACAGTAGAGTCAAAAGGAAATTTCGCTTACTAAAAATGCTCCCTTTTTCAGTGTAGACCAATCAAATTTGTTCCAAATTGGTCCAAGTGTTTTTTTATCCGTGAATTTTTAACTATAATCGTGTATCCGGAATGTGGATTTAATCCATTAATAAATTATAGGCGACATATAATAGTACGTACGTGTATGTACAGGATGTTAAACTATATAAGTTGTTTTGTCTATTTGGACTAAGGATGGCAAGTATTTTAAAACACAATGGCCCTTTTTAAAGTACAACTTCCCCGTTATGGTAGTTACTCAAAGAGGCAAGTCACGGGGCATAAGTTTCCATTTGTAGTAAGCCTGAAATAAAAATAGTTCCGGAAAAAATCATGTATTCAGATGTTCGGAATGTGTCACTATAAATTTCTAGTCACACAATTCTGCAAATACA